TCCTTGTCTCCAGAAATTCACCGGAGCAGAATTCAGTTTAGTTATAGTTATATATATATATATATATAATAACATAGGCCGCGTGTGACAACTCTGGTGTAGGGATAAGTTAACACCTTTGCGTCTCGGATATGGAAGAACTTGTTTGAGACAGGTATCGTATGAATAGAAAAGGCGTATGTTTCTTTGACGTAAGTTAAATTATGATATTATATTGTTAGTATGTAATAGTTTTTTGATTCGAGGCAAAGATGTTAAGTAAAGGATTGTGTCATTTACAAGAATGCATACACCTGATGATTTTAAAATGTTTATTTATATTTGACAAGTGGGTATGAGTTTAATTTAGTAATAATTTATTTTTCTAAATGGAAAATTTCCAATTATTTAATTATTTTTCAGAAATTGCATTCAAACAATATAATAATATAACATGTTTCAAAATTATTGAAATAGGCAAACCGATGATACTTCATGGATAGAGAACTTTAATCGGGCACTGACTAAAATTTCAATCCAATGAATGGAGTTCTATTATAATATGCAGCCACATTCATGGCAGGGATTATAGAGTTTTGATTTAATAAAGACAAGTTGTATTCTCGACTAAGTTAATTTAAACTCTAACTTTAGTTTCAATCGTTCAAAGACTAGAGACTGTTACACACAAATTATGTATATCGTTTCGACGAAATTGTGCTACCTAAGATGATGAACATTAAATAAGAAATCATAAGACAAAGAGCTAAGTTAATACTTTGTTATATTGTAATAAAAATTATACATTTCAAATCTGAAAATGAAGTGTATATCTCTTTAGACATCTTTTAACAATTGTATACATTATGAACAATCAATTTTAAAAAAAAAAATAAATTAAAAAAACTAAAATTTATCATCATCAAAAAGTTCATAACTTAAATTACATTAAGTAAGAAAATATTTGATACATTTTTTTCAAATACATTTTACAAAATCATCAGGTGTATATATATATATATATATAT